CCCTATACAACTAATATGGAAGAAATATCCAACAAATACAACTCCAAGGTTTGCCAGAGAGCAAACGTATTCAGCACCGGGAACACCTGCTCCCCCCCCCCCTCCGCCACTCGAACCACCAAACTACCTGTACGTCGCCTGCTCATCGCTGATTGGCTGCGTGTCCAGTTGCACCTGCCCTCCACCCGCCACACTTCCTGATGTCTGGGGCCACACGACCTACAGACCTCAGAATATCCTGTGCTTTCAACAAGTTAACACGTCTCGTTGGTAGACTAAGCTCTGGCTTACGTGTACTAAGAGAGGTGGCAGCTTAAAGCCAATATTCCTGCACCTATTATCTGATTGTATATTGTTCACTTGTTATTACTCACTTGTCTTAACGTAACTTTTCATTTTGTCATTTGATTATTCTTATTATTTTGATTGATTGATTTTATGTTCCAATTTGTATGTCCATTTTATTCATGTTTTGCTTTTCTAATGTAATTAAAATCTCATTGTTAAATTTACTTGTGTTTTGTGTGTCTTCCCATTACCTTACCACAGACGAAGTTCCAGATTTTTTTCTTTTGTTTCTATATGTGACGAGGCCATACCCCTAGCTTTTGAAACAGCCGAACACCAACGCGTTACCGACACAATATATATATATATATATATATATATATATATATATATATATATATATATATATATATATGTCGTACCTAGTAGCCAGAACTCACTTCTCAGCCTACTATTCAAGGCCCGATTTGCCTAATAAGCCAAGTTTTCCTGAATTAATATATTTACTATAATTTTTTTCTTATGAAATGATAAAGCAACCCTTTTCTCTATGTATGAGGTCAATTTTTTTTATTGGAGTTAAAATTAACGTAGATATATGACCGAACCTAACCAACCCTACCTAACCTAACCTAACCTATATTTATAGGTAAGGTTAGGTTAGGTAGCCAAAAAAGCTAGGTTAGGTTAGGTTAGGTAGGTTAGGTAGACGAAAAAACATTAATTCATGAAAACTTGGCTTATTAGGCAAATCGGGCCTTGAATAGTAGACTGAGAAGTGCGTTCTGGCTATTAGGTACGACATATATATATATATATATATATATATATATATGTCGTACCTAATAGCCAGAACGCACTTCTCAGCCTACTATTCAAGGCCCGATTTGCCTAATAAGCCAAGTTTTCATGAATTAATGTTTTTTCGTCTACCTAACCTACCTAACCTAACCTAACCTAGCTTTTTTTGGCTACCTAACCTAACCTTACCTATAAATATAGGTTAGGTTAGGTTAGGTAGGGTTGGTTAGGTTCGGTCATATATCTACGTTAATTTTAACTCCAATAAAAAAAAATTGACCTCATACATAGAGAAAAGGGTTGCTTTATCATTTCATAAGAAAAAAATTATAGTAAATATATTAATTCAGGAAAACTTGGCTTATTAGGCAAATCGGGCCTTGAATAGTAGGCTGAGAAGTGAGTTCTGGCTACTAGGTACGACATATATATATATATATATATATATATATATATATATATATATATATATATATATATATATATGTCATACCTAGTAGCCAGAACGCACTTGTCAGCCTACTATGCATGGCCAAATTTGCCTAATAGGCCAAGTTTTCATGAATTAATTGTTTTTCGACTACCTAACCTACCTAACCTAACCTAACCTAACTTTTTCGGCTACCTAACCTAACCTAACCTATAAAGATAGGTTAGGTTAGGTTAGGTAGGGTTGGTTAGGTTCGGTCATATATCTACGTTAATTTTAACTCCAATAAAAAAAAATTGACCTCATACATTATGAAATGGGCAGCTTTATCATTTCATAAGAAAAAAAATAGAGAAAATATATTAATTAAGGAAAACTTGGCTTATTAGGCAAATTTGGTCTTGCATAGTAGGCTGAGAAGTGCGTTCTGGCTACTAGGTACGACATATATATATATATATATATATATATATATATATATATATATATATATATATATATATATATATATATATATATATATATATATATATATATATATATATATATAGCCACTCAGCGTTGGGTCGGCAGGATTGTGTGTTAGGTGAAGAGAATGCAGCAGGTGATGTCACCTCACAGAAGTTAAGCAGCATTGTTTACGAAGCATCACAGGGATGGTTGCACTCTCCTCCTTCCCTCGGAGGATCTTAACTCCGTCAGACCAAGGACTTTGAACTCCATGTAGTTACAGGAGGTAAAGCTGGTGTATCTTGTATGTATCGTGTATGAATGTATGAATGTGAAGGCAACTGATGAATGATTCTTCCAACAACAGTTCAAGTACGTGTGAACACACACACACACAGATGGCTATCTTGAGTTGATTTCGGGGCTTAAATGTCCCCGCGGCCCGGTCCTCGACCAGGCCTCCACCCCCAGGAAGCAGCCCGTGACAGCTGACTAACACCCAGGTACCTATTTACTACTAGGTAACAGGGGCATAGGGTGAAAGAAACTCTGTCCATTGTTTCTCTCCTGTGCCTGCAATCGAACCCAGGACCACAGGATCACAAGTCCAGCGTGCTGTCCGCTCGGCCGACCGGCTGGGCGACTTTCTGAAGGATTCAACAGAGTAAGCTCAGGGAACCTCCTCCACCTCCACCATTTAAGGGGCGTCGTAGCCTGGTGGATAGCGCGCAGGACTCGTAATTCTGTGGCGCGGGTTCGATTCCCGCACGAGGCAGAAACAAATGGGCAAAGTTTCTTTCACCCTGAATGCCCCTGTTACCTAGCAGTAAATAGGTACCTGGGAGTTAGTTAGCTGTCACGGGCTGCTTCCTGGGGGTGGAGGCCAGGTCGAGGACCGGGCCGCGGGGACACTAAAAAGCCCCGAAATCATTTCAAGATAACCTCAAGATAGCCTCAAGATAACCTCGATAGCCAGTGTTTGCAGCGTTCCTCAGGACGTGAGAGGAGGCGTAGCTGGTTTGGCACATGATGCTTTGATGAAACAGGAAGTTTCCCGCATCGGTAAAATGCTTGAATGTGACTGGCTCGCTGATCTCTGGCAGTAACGGACCAGAAAATTGGATTCCCCCTCGTTTAGTGAATAGAGGAGAGCCGTTGCAAGGGGAAGAGGGGGGGGAGAATTTGCAACGTTGTCAGGGGTTCTTTTCCCCTCGAAATCCCCCTCACTTTGTAGCACATTCGAGGGTCACCAAAGGGTCACCCGCTGTTTAATATCTCAAGTTTAGGAATACACAAGTAATTATTCATACCATAATGATTGGGATCGAATATTCTTTCAAAATATTTAACACCAAAGAGAATTGTGTAGATATTGCTTTTCTTAAACCTCAGGTTGATATTATATATTTTCAATCATCCATTGCAACGATATATATATGTACGTTGTATCTTAGTTGCAAGTGCAATAAGTGAAGAGATAAAATTCACCTTCTCATAATAAATCCATCAAAATATTCATAACGAAATGGGTCTTAACTAAATTCTTTAATAATTCGTAAAAAAATCCAGTCCCATGGGAGCTTGTTTACATTAACAATGTTACCACATTTGTTATTATGAATATAATGAAGCACTGGTCATATTGAACTAAGATAACTTTCTTCCTCATAACAAATGCCAGCAGGAGAAGTTCCACACGAATTCAATTCCACATGAAATTTAAATTGTTACGTATTATAAAACCTTCACTTATCTGAACAGCATCAAAACTAAATATAATTTAACTGATTGGTGAGAAAAACTATGAATTCCTCAACTCAACAGTAACAGAACTACATATCTTTCAACTAGTGACAGAAGAGATAGTTACCTCACAGGCGCTATGTGAGGTAACTATGTGAGGTAAATATGTGAGGAACTATGTTAGGATGTGAAGAACAATGCACTATGTGAGGAACGGTGTTTAAATTTAATACATTATGAGGAATGAGTTTGAGATTAAGTTTATTACAAACGGGTTAAACATTTTAACTAACAAAGGTCTGAAAGAAGCAAAGTTTTCATTATATATAATTTAAAATAATTAGATCATGTTCAGTGAACCAGGTAAAAAGAATTAAATTAACACCAACATAAATAATTAATAAATAATAATAGTGAATTAAAACTAAATAATTAACAATAGTTTAATTGGTTTCAAAATATTTTAACAGAAAACAAAAATAATATTTTCTGCTGTGTAGAATAATTACTGCGATTTTATTAATAAGATACAACTATGTAAAAATTAGGAACACCGTACCTTGAGGTTACCTTGAGGTGCTTCCGGGGCTTAGCGTCCCCGCGGCCCGGTCGTCGACCAGGCCTCCTGGTTGCCGGACTGATCAACCAGGCTGTTGGACGCGGCTGCTCCCAGCCTGACGTATGAGTCACCATCTGCTGTAAGATACAATAAAATGAACACCAATGCATTTATAAAACAACAATTACTTCACAGGTGTGTAAATTGCAACCCATCCTCCAACTATGCTCATCCAAGCGGCAGTCGTCCACGAAAATGCATTCATTGATTTTAATGAAAATTATATTTAAAATACATTATACAACTTATATTTCAATTGTGTGAATAGTTTAGGGCGAGGTTTGCTTAGGTCAGTTGTTGGTGATTGAGTTGTAATATTGTTCCTTGCGTGAAAAATACTTGCGTGAAAAGTCAGCGTATTGCAGACATTTCTAAGCTGTTGCAATCCAGCAAAATACAAGAGCAGGAGAAGGGAACTATTGGGAAAAATCGTCAAGCCATTATGACTATATAGCACTAGGAAGGGATCAGGATAATGATTTGGGATGGGATGGTGGGGGGGGGGGGGAAGGGGGAGGAAGGAATGGTGCCAAACTATATGGACGGTCGGGGATTGAACGCGGACCTGCATGAAGCGAGTCTATCGCTCTACCGTCCAGCCCAAGTGGACGACAGAGCGACGCAACAGTACACACAGGGTGGGTGTGCTGAGGTGATCCTTCTTCAAACCTGCTTCACCTGGTCCTGATCCACCAGCTTCACCTGGTCCTGATCCACCAGCTCCACCGTGCCCTGATCCACCAGCTCCACCTGGTCCTGATCCACCAGCTCCACCTGTACCTGATCCACCAGCTCCACCGGGACCTGATCAACCATTTCCACCGGGATCTGATCCACCAGCTCCACCGGGACCTGATCCACCAGTTCCACCGGGACCTGATCCACCAGCACCACCGGGACCTTATCCACCAGCTCCACCGGGACCTGATCCACCAGCACCACCTGGTCCTGATCCACCAGCTCCACCGGGTCCTGATCCACCAGCTCCACCGGGTCCTGATCCACCAGTACCACCGGGACCTGGGATCCACCAGTTCCACCGGGTCCTGATCCACCAGCTCCACCTGGTCCTGATCCACCAGCTTCACCTGGTCCTGATCCACCAGCTCCACCTGGTCCTAATCCACCAGCTCCACCTGGTCCTGATCCACCAGCTTCACCTGGTCCTGATCCACCAGCTCCACCTGGTCCTGATCCACCAGCTCCACCTGGTCCTGATCCACCAGCTCCACCTGTACCTGATCCACCAGCTCCACCGGGACCTGATCCACCATTTCCACCGGGACCTGATCCACCAGCTCCACCGGAACTTGATCCACCAGTTCCTCCGGGACCTGATCCACCAGCACCACCGGGACCTGATCCACCAGCTCCACCGGGTCCTGATCCACCAGTTCCACCGGGTCCTGATCCACCAGCACCACCGGGTCCTGATCCACCGGCTCCACCGGGTCCTGATCAACCAGCTAAACCGGGTCCTGATCCACCAGCACCACCGGGTCCTGATCGACCTGCTCGATCGGCACCTGATCCACCAGCTCCACCTGGTCCTGATCCACCAGGACCACCGGGACCTGGGATCCACCAGTTCCACCGGGTCCTGATCCACCAGCTCCACCTGGTGGAGCCTGCCTGATCCACCAGCTTCACCGGGTCCTGATCCACCAGCTCCACCTGGTGGAGCCTGCCTGAGCCACTATTGCCTGATCCACCAGCTTCCCCGGGCCCTGATCCATCAGCTCCACCTGGTCCTGATCCACCAGCTCTACCTGGTCCTGATCCACCAGCTTCCCCGGGTCCTGATCCACCTGGTCCTGATCCACCAGCTTCCCCGGATCCTGATCCACCAGCTCCACCGGGTCCTGATCCACCAGCTCCACCGGGTCCTGATCCACCAGCTCCACCGGGTCCTGATCCACCAGCTCCACCGGGTCCTGATCCACGCTGGTCGTGGGAATCTTCTCATTGCAAAAGGAAACTCTTTAAAGAACTCCTATGCGGGTCCTCACTGTAATTCTTATTTCAGTGTGTAAACCGTTTTTCATTCATAAACCTGGAGGTTTGGCCGCTGGATTGACGAGCAATTGGACTTTGTTGATGAGGACGGTGTCACGAATCTTATTACGATTCTGCCAATTCTCCCGAACCTCGTATTATGTTATTGTTTTCTCTACGTAAATATTGTTGTCAGTTGTATAAGATTTGTGTATATAGATATATATACATTATATATATATAACATAGATAGCTGGGTAGTGTGTGTAAGGTTTGTTTTGGTGGTGGATGTCACGTGAAATTAGCCGTGTGGGCGGTTGACAATATTTGGGAATGGCCAGGGCGATTGTTGGCAAAACAATTGCCTATAGTTTTATATTTATTTATTCCCATATGTGGTAGCCGTAATATTTCCAGGAATGTGAGACCAGTAATTACAACTCTTAGTTAATAATGTTGGAGTTTAGGGCTGACCTTTGTAAATAGAATGTTCACAATGTTCATGCGAACGTTAATTGGTGTTTGGGTAGACGGTTAGTCGACGTTGGGCCTGCGGACCACGTCCTGCTGCAGTAGAGTGGCGGCTGCGGTCGAGTGCAGTTGTGTTTAAGTTCTTGGTTTTTGTTATTTTAAGCCCATATAAATATTAATTTATATGGATAGACGATTTTAGTGTATTTATGGCTTACTCCATATTCTGGTGATAGTGTTCAGGTCTCAAATAATTACTTGCATTCTATAGTATTACATGCTGATAAATATTTCTGGATACTATTTATTTAATGGTTGTTAAGTTGTCACCCTTAGCAAAATATATTGTTCTCCCGTGTTTATACAGTGATTAATTATACCCCTAGACACCTATTGGCATGGTAGATTTTTATTTGTTCTTTACACTGTGGGGAGAAGAACATTATTTAGTCTCAAGGGTCGTGACAGACGGAATGACTCAAACCTCTTGATGTTCGAAGATTTCTTGTAGAGTGCTTCGTTGATGCCCTCTACTGGGATTACAACTCTGCAAATGCTTCAACCCAGTAGTACAGACACAAAACAATAACAAACAGAACCTAAACACCTAACCTAACCTAACCTAACCTAACCTAACCTAACCTAACCTAACCTAACCTAACCTACCCGACACCTTAACATGCACAATATGCTAATATATAATATTCATTTATATATGAGAAAATTCTTGTTTTGAAGGCACAGTTTGATAAAATTCCTGGACGGGTATTTGGGGTCGGCCGCTGGATGGACGAGAACTTTCTGAGGGGCGGGTTGCTAAATGCTTCACCCCTAGTACTCCAAATGGTAACAATTGCCAACACTTACTATAAGCACTTCATAATTTCGATTAGCTTTTCAAATTTCTATCTTAGGCATTCTTGATAGCTTGATAAATTGTCATTCCAGTTACCTTTAACCTGGAGAAAGATATCCATGGAGAACTGGAGGGGAGAGATGGCTGTGCTCCCAGCACCCGTGGATCATCAGGGAGGGCAGGGCTCTGCTCCCAGCACCCGTGGATCATCAGGGAGGCCAGTGCTCTGCTCCCAGCACCCGTGGATCACCAGCGAGGCCAGGGCTCTGCTCCCAGCACCCGTGGATCATCAGGGAGGCCAGGGCTCTGCTCCCAGCACCCGTGGATCATCAGGGAGGCCAGGGCTCTGCTCCCAGCACCCGTGGATCATCAGGGAGGCCAGGGCTCTGCTCCCAGCACCCGTGGATCATCAGGGAGGGCAGGGCTCTGCTCCCAGCACCCGTGGATCATCAGGGAGGCCAGTGCTCTGCTCCCAGCACCCGTGGATCACCAGCGAGGCCAGTGCTCTGCTCCCAGCACCCGTGGATCATCAGGGAGGCCAGGGCTCTGCTCCCAGCACCCGTGGATCATCAGGGAGGCCAGGGCTCTGCTCCCAGCACCCGTGGATCATCAGGGAGGCCAGGGCTCTGCTCCCAGCACCCGTGGATCATCAGGGAGGCCAGGGCTCTGCTCCCAGCACCCGTGGATCATCGGGGAGGCCAGGGCTCTGCTCCCAGCACCCGTGGATCATCAGGGACGCCAGTGCTCTGCTCCCAGCACCCGTGGATCACCAGTGAGGCCAGGGCTCTGCTCCCAGCACCCGTGGATCATCAGGGAGGCCAGGGCTCTGCTCCCAGCACCCGTGGATCATCAGGGAGGCCAGTGCTCTGCTCCCAGCACCCGTGGATCATCAGGGAGGCCAGTGCTCTGCTCCCAGCACCCGTGGATCACCAGCGAGGCCAGGGCTCTGCTCCCAGCACCCGTGGATCACCAGCGAGGCCAGTGCTCTGCTCCCAGCACCCGTGGATCATCAGGGAGGCCAGGGCTCTGCTCCCAGCACCCGTGGATCATCAGGGAGGCCAGGGCTCTGCTCCCAGCACCCGTGGATCATCAGGGAGGCCAGTGCTCTGCTCCCAGCACCCGTGGATCACCAGCGAGGCCAGGGCTCTGCTCCCAGCACCCGTGGATCACCAGCGAGGCCAGTGCTCTGCTCCCAGCACCCGTGGATCACCCGGGAGGCCAGGGCTCTGCTCCCAGCACCCGTGGATCACCAGCGAGGCCAGGGCTCTACTCCCAGCACCCGTGGATCACCAGGGAGACCAGGGCTCTGCTCCCAGCACCCGTGGATCACCAGGGAGGCCAGGGCTCTGCTCCCAGCACCCGTGGATCATCAGGGAGGCCAGTGCTCTGCTCCCAGCACCCGTGGATCATCAGGGAGGCCAGTGCTCTGCTCCCAGCACCCGTGGATCACCAGCGAGGCCAGGGCTCTGCTCCCAGCACCCGTGGATCACCAGCGAGGCCAGTGCTCTGCTCCCAGCACCCGTGGATCATCAGGGAGGCCAGGGCTCTGCTCCCAGCACCCGTGGATCATCAGGGAGGCCAGTGCTCTGCTCCCAGCACCCGTGGATCACCAGGGAGGCCAGGGCTCTGCTCCCAGCACCCGTGGATCACCAGCGAGGCCAGGGCTCTACTCCCAGCACCCGTGGATCACCAGGGAGACCAGGGCTCTGCTCCCAGCACCCGTGGATCACCAGGGAGGCCAGTGCTCTGCTCCCAGCACCCGTGGATCACCAGCGAGGCCAGGGCTCTGCTCCCAGCACCCGTGGAACACCAGCGAGGCCAGTGCTCTGCTCCCAGCACCCGTGGATCACCAGGGAGGCCAGGGCTCTGCTCCCAGCACCCGTGGGTGACCAGTGAGGCCAGTGCTCTGCTCCCAGCACCCGTGGATAACCAGGGAGGCCAGTGCTCTGCTCCCAGCACCCGTGGATCACCAGCGAGGCCAGGGCTCTGCTCCCAGCACCCGTGGATCACCAGCAAGGCCAGTGCTCTACTCCCAGCTCCCGTGGATCACCAGGGAGGCCAGGGCTCTGCTCCCAGCACCCGTGGATCACCAGGGAGGCCAGGGCTCTACTCCCAGCACCCGTGGATCACCAGCGAGGACAGGGCTCTGCTCCCAGCACCCGTGGATCACCAGGGAGGCCAGGGCTCTGCTCCCAGCACCCGTGGATCACCAGGGAGGCCAGGGCTCTGCTCCCAGCACCCGTGGATCACCAGGGAGGCCAGGGCTCTGCTCCCAGCACCCGTGGACCACCAGGGAGGCCAGGGCTCTATTCCCAGCACCCGTGGATCACCAGGGAGGCCACTGCTCTGCTCCCAGCACCCGTGGATCACCAGGGAGGCCAGGGCTCTTCTCCCAGCACCCGTGGATCACCAGGGAGGCCAGGGCTCTGCTCCCAGCACCCGTGGATCACCAGGGAGGCCAGGGCTCTGCTCCCAGCACCCGTGGATCACCAGGGAGGCCAGGGCTCTACTCCCAGCACCTGTGGATCACCAGGGAGGCCACTGCTCTGCTCCCAGCACCCGTGGATCACCAGGGAGGCCCAGGCTCTGCTCCCAGCACCCGTGGATCACCAGCAAGGCCAGGGCTCTGCTCCCAGCACCCGTGGATCACCAGCGAGGCAGTGACTCTGCTCCCAGCACCCGTGGATCACCAGGGAGGCCAGGGCTCTGCTCCCAGCACCCGTGGATCACCAGCGAGGTCAGGGCTCTGCTCCCAGCACCCGTGGATCACCAGAGAGGCCAGGGCTCTGCTCCCAGCACCCGTGGATCACCAGGGAGGCCAGGGCTCTGCTCCCAACACCCGTGGATCACTAGCGAAGGCCAGGGCTCTGCTCCCAGCACCCGTGGATCACCAGGGAGGCCAGGGCTCTGCTCCCAGCACCCGTGTGTGACCAGCGAGGCCAGGGCTCTGCTCCCAGCACCCGTGGATCACCAGGGAGGCCAGGGCTCTGCTCCCAGCACCCGTGGATCACCAGGGAGGCCTGGGCTCTGCTACCAGCACCCGTGTGTGACCAGCGAGGCCTGGGTTCTGCTCCCAGCACCCGTGGATCACCAGGGAGGCCGGGGCTCTGCTCCCAGCACCCGTGGATCACCAGAGAGGCCGGGGCTCTGCTCCCAGCACCCGTGGATCACCAGGGAGGCCTGGGCTCTGCTCCCAGCACCCGTGGATCCCCAGTGAGGCCAGGGCTCTGCTCCCAGCACCCGTGGATCACCAAGGAGGCCAGGGTTCTGCTCCCAGCACCCGTGGATCACCGGGGAGGCCAGGGCTCTGCTCTCAGCACCCGTGGATCACCAGGGAGGCCGGGGCTCTGCTCCCAGCACCCGAGGATCACCAGGGAGGCCAGGGCCCTGCTCCCAGCACCCGTGGATCACCAAGGAGGCCAGGGTTCTGCTCCCAGCACCCGTGGATCACCAGGGAGGCCAGGGCTCTGCTCCCAGCACCCGTGGATCACCAGGGAGGCCAGGGCTCTGCTTCCAGCACCCGTGGAACACCACGGAGGCCAGGGCTCTGCTCCCAGCACCCGTGGATCACCACGGAGGCCAGGGCTCTACTCCCAGCACCCGTGGATCACCAGGGAGGCCAGGGCTCTTCTCCCAGCACCCGTGGATCACCAGTGAGGCCAGGGCTCTGCTCCTAGCACCCATGGATCACCAGGGAGGCCAGGGCCCTGCTCCCAGCACCCGTGGATCACCAGGGAGGCCAGGGCTCTGCTTCCAGCACCCGTGGATCACCAGGGAGGCCAGGGCTCTGCTTCCAGCACCCGTGGATCACCAGGGAGGCCAGGGCTCTGCTCCCAGCACCCGTGGATCACCAGGGAGGCCAGAGCTCTACTCCCAGCACCCGTGGATCACCAGGGAGGCCAGGGCTCTGCTCCCAGCACCCGTGGATCACCAGGGAGGCCAGGGCTCTGCTTCCAGCACCCGTGGATCACCAGGGAGGCCAGGGCTCTGCTTCCAGCACCCGTGGATCACCAGGGAGGCCAGGGCTCTGCTCCCAGCACCCGTGGATCACCAGGGAGGCCAGAGCTCTACTCCCAGCACCCGTGGATCACCAGCGAGGACAGGGCTCTGCTCCCAGCACCCGTGGATCACCAGGGAGGCCAGGGCTCTGCTCCCAGCACCCGTGGATCACCAGGGAGGCCAGGGCTCTGCTCCCAGCACCCGTGGATCACCAGGGAGGCCAGGGCTCTGCTCCCAGCACCCGTGGACCACCAGGGAGGCCAGGGCTCTATTCCCAGCACCCGTGGATCACCAGGGAGGCCACTGCTCTGCTCCCAGCACCCGTGGATCACCAGGGAGGCCAGGGCTCTGCTCCCAGCACCCGTGGATCACCAGGGAGGCCAGGGCTCTGCTCCCAGCACCCGTGGATCACCAGGGAGGCCAGGGCTCTGCTCCCAGCACCCGTGGATCACCAGGGAGGCCAGGGCTCTACTCCCAGCACCTGTGGATCACCAGGGAGGCCACTGCTCTGCTCCCAGCACCCGTGGATCACCAGGGAGGCCAAGGCTCTGCTCCCAGCACCCGTGGATCACCAGCAAGGCCAGGGCTCTGCTCCCAGCACCCGTGGATCACCAGCGAGGCAGTGACTCTGCTCCCAGCACCCGTGGATCACCAGGGAGGCCAGGGCTCTGCTCCCAGCACCCGTGGATCACCAGCGAGGTCAGGGCTCTGCTCCCAGCACCCGTGGATCACCAGAGAGGCCAGGGCTCTGCTCCCAGCACCCGTGGATCACCAGGGAGGCCAGGGCTCTGCTCCCAACACCCGTGGATCACTAGCGAAGGCCAGGGCTCTGCTCCCAGCACCCGTGGATCACCAGGGAGGCCAGGGCTCTGCTCCCAGCACCCGTGTGTGACCAGCGAGGCCAGGGCTCTGCTCCCAGCACCCGTGGATCACCAGGGAGGCCAGGGCTCTGCTCCCAGCACCCGTGGATCACCAGGGAGGCCTGGGCTCTGCTACCAGCACCCGTGTGTGACCAGCGAGGCCTGGGTTCTGCTCCCAGCACCCGTGGATCACCAGGGAGGCCGGGGCTCTGCTCCCAGCACCCGTGGATCACCAGAGAGGCCGGGGCTCTGCTCCCAGCACCCGTGGATCACCAGGGAGGCCAGGGCTCTGCTCCCAGCACCCGTGGATCCCCAGTGAGGCCAGGGCTCTGCTCCCAGCACCCGTGGATCACCAAGGAGGCCAGGGTTCTGCTCCCAGCACCCGTGGATCACCGGGGAGGCCAGGGCTCTGCTCACAGCACCCGTGGATCACCAGGGAGGCCGGGGCTCTGCTCCCAGCACCCGAGGATCACCAGGGAGGCCAGGGCCCTGCTCCCAGCACCCGTGGATCACCAGGGAGGCCAGGGTTCTGCTCCCAGCACCCGTGGATCACCAGGGAGGCCAGGGCTCTGCTCCCAGCACCCGTGGATCACCAGGGAGGCCAGGGCTCTGCTTCCAGCACCCGTGGAACACCACGGAGGCCAGGGCTCTGCTCCCAGCACCCGTGGATCACCACGGAGGCCAGGGCTCTCCTCCCAGCACCCGTGGATCACCAGGGAGGCCAGGGCTCTTCTCCCAGCACCCGTGGATCACCAGTGAGGCCAGGGCTCTGCTCCTAGCACCCATGGATCACCAGGGAGGCCAGGGCCCTGCTCCCAGCACCCGTGGATCACCAGGGAGGCCAGGGCTCTGCTTCCAGCACCCGTGGATCACCAGGGAGGCCAGGGCTCTGCTTCCAGCACCCGTGGATCACCAGGGAGGCCAGGGCTCTGCTCCCAGCACCCGTGGATCACCAGGGAGGCCAGAGCTCTGCTCCCAGCACCCGTGGATCACCAGGGAGGCCAGGGCTCTGCTCCCAGCACCCGTGGATCACCAGGGAGGCCAGGGCTCTGCTTCCAGCACCCGTGGATCACCAGGGAGGCCAGGGCTCTGCTTCCAGCACCCGTGGATCACCAGGGAGGCCAGGGCTCTGCTCCCAGCACCCGTGGATCACCAGGGAGGCCAGAGCTCTACTCCCAGCACCCGTGGATCACCAGTGAGGCCAGGGCTCTGCTCCTAGCACCCATGGATCACCAGGGAGGCCAGGGCCCTGCTCCCAGCACCCGTGGATCACCAGGGAGGCCAGGGCTCTGCTCCCAGCACCCGTGGATCACCAGGGAGGCCAGGGCTCTGCTTCCAGCACCCGTGGATCACCAGGGAGGTCAGGGCTCTGCTCCCAGCACCCGTGGATCACCAGGGAGGCCAGGGCTCTGCTTCCAGCACCCGTGGATCACCAGGGAGGCCAGGGCTCTGCTTCCAGCACCCGTGGATCACCAGGGAGGCCAGGGCTCTGCTCCCAGCACCCGTGGATCACCAGGGAGGCCAGAGCTCTACTCCCAGCACCCGTGGATCACCAGGGAGGCCTGGGTTCTGCTCCCAGCACCCGTGGATCACCAGGGAGGCCAGGGCTGTGCTCCCAGCGTCCCTGGAGGCAGGAACTCGGCCACACGACGCTGGTGGAGGCTGACGGGGATTACTGGTGCTCGTGGGAGAGAAGGTGTCTGGACTGGAGCTTCCCTGGCTGGCCAACTGTGAGATGTGGCTTGGTTGCTGCTGCTTTTTTTGGCAACTGTTGCTTGTCGCAGCTGTGGCGTGTTTGTTGATGTTTCCTGCAACTGTTGCTTGACGCTGCTGTGGCGTGTTTGTTGATGTTTCCTGCAACTGTTGCTTGTCGCAGCTGTGGCGTGTTTGTTGATGTTTCCTGCAACTGTTGCTTGTCGCAGCTGTGGCGTGTTTGTTGATGTTTCCTGCAACTGTTGCTTGTCGCAGCTGTGGGGTGTTTGTTGATGTTTGTTGCAACTGTTGCTTGACGCAGCTGTGGCGTGTTTGTTGATGTTTCCTGCAACTGTTGCTTGTCGCAGCTGTGGCGTGTTTGTTGATGTTTCCTGCAACTGTTGCTTGTCGCAGCTGTGGCGTGTTTGTTGATGTTTCCTGCAACTGTTGCTTGTCGCAGCTGTGGCGTGTTTGTTGATGTTTCCTGCAACTGTTGCTTGTCGCAGCTGTGGCGTGTTTGTTGATGTTTCCTGCAACTGTTGCTTGTCGCAGCTGTGGCGTGTTTGTTGATGTTTCCTGCAACTGTTGCTTGACGCTGCTGTGGCGTGTTTGTTGATGTTTCCTGCAACTGTTGCTTGTCGCAGCTGTGGCGTGTTTGTTGATGTTTCCTGCAACTGTTGCTTGTCGCAGCTGTGGCGTGTTTGTTGATGTTTCCTGCAACTTTTGCTTGTCGCAGCTGTGGCGTGTTTGTTGATGTTTCCTGCAACTGTTGCTTGTCGCAGCTGTGGCGTGTTTGTTGATGTTTCCTGCAACTGTTGCTTGACGCTGCTGTGGCGTGTTTGTTGATGTTTCCTGCAACTGTTACTTGTCGCAGCTGTGGCGTGTTTGTTGCTGTTTCCTGCAACTGTTGCTTGTCGCAGCTGTGGCGTGTTTGTTGATGTTTCCTGCAACTGTTGCTTGTCGTAGCTGTGGCGTGTTTGTTGATGTTTCCTGCAACTGTTGCTTGTCGCAGCTGTGGCGTATTTGTTGATGTTTCCTGCAACTGTTGCTTGTCGCAGCTGTGGGGTGTTTGTTGATGTTTGTTGCAACTGTTGCTTGACGCAGCTGTGGCGTGTTTGTTGATGTTTCCAGCAACTGTTGCTTGTCGCAGCTGTGGCGTGTTTGTTGATGTTTCCTGCAACTGTTGCTTGTCGCAGCTGTGGCGTGTTTGTTGATGTTTCCTGCAACTGTTGCTTGTCGCAGCAGTGGCGTGTTTGTTGATGTTTCCTGCAACTGTTGCTTGTCGCCGCTGTGGCGTGTTTGTTGATGTTTCCTGCAACTGTTGCTTGTCGCAGCTGTGGCGTGTTTGTTGATGTTTCCTGCAACTGTTGCTTGTCGCAGCTGTGGCGTGTTTGTTGATGTTTCCTGCAACTGTTGCTTGTCGCAGCTGTGGCGTGTTTGTTGATGTTTCCTGCAACTGTTGCTTGTCGCAGCTGTGGCGTGTTTGTTGATGTTTCCTGCAACTGTTGCTTGACGCTGCTGTGGCGTGTTTGTTGATGTTTCCTGCAACTGTTGCTTGACGCTGCTGTGGGGTGTTTGTTGATGTTTCCTGCAACTGTTGCTTGTCGCAGCTGTGGGGTGTTTGTTGATGTTTGTTGCAACTGTTGCTTGACGCAGCTGTGGCGTGTTTGTTGATGTTTCCTGCAACTGTTGCTTGTCGCAGCTGTGGCGTGTTTGTTGATGTTTCCTGCAACTGTTGCTTGTCGCAGCTGTGGCGTGTTTGTTGATGTTTCCTGCAACTGTTGCTTGTCGCAGCAGTGGCGTGTTTGTTGATGTTTCCTGCAACTGTTGCTTGTCGCCGCTGTGGCGTGTTTGTTGATGTTTCCTGCAACTGTTGCTTGTCGCAGCTGTGGCGTGTTTGTTGATGTTTCCTGCAACTGTTGCTTGTCGCAGCTGTGGCGTGTTTGTTGATGTTTCCTGCAACTGTTGCTTGTCGCAGCTGTGGCGTGTTTGTTGATGTTTCCTGCAACTGTTGCTTGTCGCAGCTGTGGCGTGTTTGTTGATGTTTCCTGCAACTGTTGCTTGTCGTAGCTGTGGGGTGTTTGTTGATGTTTCCTGCAACTGTTGCTTGTCGCTGCTGTGGGGTGTTTGTTGATGTTTCCTGCAACTGTTGCTTGTCGCAGCTGTGGCGTGTTTGTTGAAATTTCCTGCAACTGTTGCTTGTCGCAGCTGTGGCGTGTTTGTTGATGTTTCCTGCAACTGTTGCTTGACGCTGCTGTGGCGTGTTTGTTGATGTTTCCTGCAACTGTTGCTTGGCGCTGCTGTGGGGTGTTTGTTGATGTTTCCTGCAACTGTTGCTTGTCGCAGCTGTGGGGTGTTTGTTGATGTTTGTTGCAACTGTTGCTTGACGCAGCTGTGGCGTGTTTGTTGATGTTTGTTGCAACTGTTGCTTGACGCAGCTGTGGCGTGTTTGTTGATGTTTGTTGCAACTGTTGCTTGACGCAGCTGTGGCGTGTTTGTTGATGTTTCCTGCAACTGTTGCTTGTCGCAGCTGTGGGGTGTTTGTTGATGTTTGTTGCAACTGTTGCTTGTCGCAGCTGTGGCGTGTTTGTTGATGTTTCCTGCAACTGTTGCTTGACGCTGCTGTGGCGTGTTTGTTGCTGTTTCCTGCAACTGTTGCTTGACGCTGCTGTGGGGTGTTTGTTGATGTTTGTTGCAACTGTTGCTTGACGCAGCTGTGGCGTGTTTGTTGATGTTTGTTGCAACTGTTGCTTGTCGCAGCTGTGGCGTGTTTGTTGATGTTTCCTGCAACTGTTGCTTGTCGTAGCTGTGGCGTGTTTGTTGATGTTTCCTGCAACTGTTGCTTGTCGCAGCTGTGGCGTGTTTGTTGATGTTTCCTGCAACTGTTGCTTGACGCTGCTGTGGCGTGTTTGTTGATGTTTCCTGCAACTGTTGCTTGTCGCAGCTGTGGCGTGTTTGTTGATGTTTCCTGCAACTGTTGCTTGTCGCAGCTGTGGGGTGTTTGTTGATGTTTCCTGCAACTGTTGCTTGACGCTGCTGTGGCGTGTTTGTTGATGTTTCCTGCAACTGTTGCTTGACGCAGCTGTGGCGTGTTTGTTGATGTTTCCTGCAACTGTTGCTTGTCGCAGCTGTGGCGTGTTTGTTGATGTTTCCTGCAACTGTTGCTTGTCGCAGCTGTGGCGTGTTTGTTGATGTTTCTTGCAACTGTTGCTTGTCGCAGCTGTGGGGTGTTTGTTGATGTTTCCTGCAACTGTTGCTTGTCGCTGCTTTGGGGTGTTTGTTGATGTTTGTTGCAACTGTTGCTTGACGCAGCTGTGGCGTGTTTGTTGATGTTTGTTACAACTGTTGCTTGTCGCAGCTGTGGCGTGTTTGTTGATGTTTCCTGCAACTGTTGCTTGTCGTAGCTGTGGCGTGTTTGTTGATGTTTCCTGCAACTGTTGCATGTCGCTGCTGTGGGGTGTTTGTTGATGTTTGTTACAACTGTTGCTTGTCGCAGCTGTGGCGTGTTTGTTTCCTGTTTCCTGGCGTGTTTGTTGATGTTACTTGTCGCAGCTGTGGCGTGTTTGTTGATGTTTCCTGCATCTGTTGCTTTATTGCTCAAATTTTAATCCTTTACAGAAAAGTTGGGTCATGTATGGACGACCTGCTGACTATCATGCATAGGATTGTCGCCTGTAATTTATTTTTTTTTGTGAAGACCAATTTTTTAATCTTCATTAGTGTATGTATAGTATATTTAGTCACATATACTTTACTCTATAAAGTAAATGCTACGTTAAGTACACTGAACCGGTAAGCCAACGCGTCATGTCGTCACAGACCATGAACAGTAAGCCCCGAATGTTATACTTTATCTTAACTCTCAGTGTGATCAATATTTTCTTTAACGTGCATTCCTCCACTACTGCCTGAGCCACTATTACCTGAGCCACTATTGCCTGAGCCACTGTTGCCTGAGCCACTATTGCCTGAGCCACTATTGCCTGAGCCACTATTGCCTGAGCCACTATTACCTGAGCCACTATTACCTGAGCCACTATTGCCTGAGCCGCTATTACCTGAGCCACTATTGCCTGAGCAACTATTGCCTGAGCCACTATTGCCTGAGCCACTATTTCCTGAGCCACTATTGCCTGAGCCACTATTGCCTGAGCCACTATTACCTGAGCCACTATTGCCTGAGCCACTATTACCTGAGCCACTATTGCCTGAGCCACTATTACCTGAGCCACTATTACCTGAGCCACTATTGCCTGAGGCACTATTACCTGAGCCACTACTGCCTGAGCCACTATTGCCTGAGCCACTACTGCCTGAGCCACTATTCCCTGAGCCACTATTACCTGAGCCACTATTGCCTGAGCCACTATTGCCTGAGCCAATATAGCCTGAGCCACTATTGCCTGAGCCACTACTGCCTGAGCCACTATTACCTGAGCCACTATTGCCTGAGCCACTACTGCCTGAGCCACTATTGCCTGAGCCACTATTGCCTGAGCCACTATTGCCTGAGCCACTATTACCTGAGCCACTATTGCCTGAGCCACTATTGCCTGAGCCACTATTGCCTGAGCCACTATTGCCTGAGCCACTACTGCCTGAGCCACTATTACCTGAGCCACTATTACCTGAGCCACTATTGCCTGAGCCACTATTACCTGAGCCACTATTGCCTGAGCCACTATTTCCTGAGCCACTATTGCCTGAGCCACTATTGCCTGAGCCACTACTGCCTGAGCCACTATTACCTGAGCCACTATTACCTGAGCCACTATTGCCTGAGCCACTATTGCCTGAGCCACTATTACCTGAGCCACTATTACCTGAGCCACTATTGCCTGAGCCACTACTGCCTGAGCCACTACTGCCTGAGCCACTATTACCTGAGCCAGTATTGCCTGAGCCACTATTGCCTGAGCCACTATTGCCTGAGCCACTATTGCCTGAGCCAATATTGCCTGAGCCACTATTGCCTGAGCCACTACTGCCTGAGCCACTATTACCTGAGCCACTATTGCCTGAGCCACTATTGCCTGAGCCACTACTGCCTGAGCCACTATTGCCTGAGCCACTATTGCCTGAGCCACTATTGCCTGAGCCACTACTGCCTGAGCCACTATTACCTGAGCCCTCCTGCCTGAGCCAATATTGCCTGAGCCCTCCTGCCTGAGCCACTATTACCTGAGCCACTATTGCCTGAGCCACTACTGCCTGAGCCACTATTGCCTGAGCCACTATTGCCTGAGCCACTATTGCCTGAGCCACTACTGCCTGAGCCACTACTGCCTGAGCCACTATTACCTGAGCCACTATTACCTGAGCCAATATTGCCTGAGCCACTATTGCCTGAGCCAATATTGCCTGAGCCACTATTGCCTGAGCCACTATTGCCTGAGCCACTATTGCCTGAGCCACTATTGCCTGAGCCACTATTGCCTGAGCCACTATTGCCTGAGCCAATATTGCCTGAGCCACTATTGCCTGAGCCACTGTTGCCTGAGCCACTATTGCCTGAGCCACTATTGCCTGAGCCACTATTGCCTGGGCCACTATTGCCTGAGCCACTATTGCCTGAGCCACTATTGCCTGAGCAACTATTGCCTGAGCCACTATTGCCTGAGCCACTACTGCCTGAGCCACTATTGCCTGAGCCACTATTGCCTGAGCAACTATTGCCTGAGCCACTACTGCCTGAGCCACTATTGCCTGAGCCACTATTGCCTGAGCCAATATTGCCTGAGCCAATATTGCCTGAGCCACTATTGCCTGAGCCACTACTGCCTGAGCCACTATTACTTGAGCCACTATTACCTGAGCCACTATTGCCTGAGCCACTACTGCCTGAGCCACTATTGCCTGAGCCACTATTGCCTGAGCCACTATTGCCTGAGCCACTACTGCCTGAGCCACTATTACCTGAGCCCTCCTGCCTGAGCCAATATTGCCTGAGCCCTCCTGCCTGAGCCACTATTACCTGAGCCACTATTGCCTGAGCCACTACTGCCTGAGCCACTATTGCCTGAGCCACTATTGCCTGAGCCACTATTGCCTGAGCCACTACTGCCTGAGCCACTACTGCCTGAGCCACTATTACCTGAGCCACTATTACCTGAGCCAATATTGCCTGAGCCACTATTGCCTGAGCCAATATTGCCTGAGCCACTATTGCCTGAGCCACTATTGCCTGAGCCACTATTGCCTGAGCCACTATTGCCTGAGCCAATATTGCCTGAGCCACTATTGCCTGAGCCACTATTGCCTGAGCCAATATTGCCTGAGCCACTATTGCCTGAGCCACTGTTGCCTGAGCCACTATTGCCTGAGCCACTATTGCCTGAGCCACTATTGCCTGGGCCACTATTGCATGAGCCACTATTGCCTGAGCCACTATTGCCTGAGCAACTATTGCCTGAGCCACTATTGCCTGAGCCACTACTGCCTGAGCCACTATTGCCTGAGCCACTATTGCCTGAGCAACTATTGCCTGAGCCACTACTGCCTGAGCCACTATTGCCTGAGCCACTATTGCCTGAGCCACTACTGCCTGAGCCACTATTACCTGAGCCACTATTACCTGAGCCACTATTGCCTGAGCCACTACTGCCTGAGCCACTATTGCCTGAGCCACTATTGCCTGAGCCACTATTGCCTGAGCCACTACTGCCTGAGCCACTATTACCTGAGCCCTCCTGCCTGAGCCAATATTGCCTGAGCCCTCCTGCCTGAGCCACTATTACCTGAGCCACTATTGCCTGAGCCACTACTGCCTGAGCCACTATTGCCAGAGCCACTATTGCCTGAGCCACTATTACCTGAGCCACTACTGCCTGAGCCACTATTGCCTGAGCCACTATTGCCTGAGCCACTATTGCCTGAGCCACTATTGCCTGAGCCAATATTGCCTGAGCCACTATTGCCTGAGCCACTGTTGCCTGAGCCACTACTGCCTGAGCCACTACTGCCTGAGCCACTATTACCTGAGCCACTATTACCTGAGCCAATATTGCCTGAGCCACTATTGCCTGAGCCAATATTGCCTGAGCCCTCCTGCCTGAGCCAATATTGCCTGAGCCACTATTGCCTGAGCCAATATTGCCTGAGCCCTCCTGCCTGAGCCAATATTGCCTGAGCCCTCCTGCCTGAGCCACTATTGCCTGAGCCACTATTGCCTGAGCCACTATTGCCTGAGCCAATATTGCCTGAGCCACTATTGCCTGAGCCAATATTGCCTGAGCCAATATTGCCTGAGCCCTCCTGCCTGAGCCACTATTGCCTGAACCACTATTGCCTGAGCCACTACTGCCTGAGCCACTATTGCCTGAGACACTTTTGCCTGAGCCACTATTGCCTGAGACACTTTTGCCTGAGCCACTATTGCCTGAGACACTTTTGCCTGAGCCACTATTGCCTGAGACACTTTTGCCTGAGCCACTATGGCCTGAGCCCTCCTGCCTGAGCCCTCCTGCCTGAGCCCCGCTGCCTGAGCCCTCCTGCCTGAGCCCCGCTGCCTGAGCCCCGCTGCCGGCCTCGTCACACAAAAGTCTCAAAAGAACCATAATTATTGTAACCTCAATTTCCCTCCATATAATTCTATGTGTATATGAAACATTACAAACCTGATGAGATAAACTCTAATATCTGGTCCACATAATGCTTCAATAATGGCTTTAACCCCTTCTTACAAGAATATATTGTTTCCTGTGAAAATAATATATATATATATATATATATATATATATATATATATATATATATATATATATATATATATATATATATATATATATATATACATATATATATATATATATATATATATATATATATATATATATATATATATATATATATATATATATATATATATATATATATTAATAATATATATATTCATATTATTCTCAATTTCCTGACATTGGAAACCATTGTTGGTATGTCTCTAGTACCCCCCTTGAACAATGTATTATTAATAGAGAAGGTCTCTTGAATTAATCTATACAATAGTTCGCGTTGAATCGAAGCAATAAATTTACCATGAAGGTTTGGCCATATTGCTTGCCAGTTAGACAGTGGATAAGCCTCGCTGTGATTGGTGCTATATTACACTTGTTTACTGCTCGTCACTAATAATACTGCAACATTAACAATCTGTCTGAGAACATTAATTGCACAAGACTATCAGAGCGAAATATAGGCCAGATCGGTATACTGCGGCAAATGTATTAAGTGGTTTGGACATATTTTTGAACAATGAGTCCTCATAAATGTACATTATTCCTTTGTATAAGTTCCTTTTTTAAAGATAAAACATAGGAGAGCTGATGACTTACAGAACACATTCAGTAAGATTTTCCAACAGTCTTTCTTACCTCTATATTGTGCAATCCGTTTAATCGGTTGAGTATCTCCCATAGTACATATATATATATATATATATATATAT